TGCTGGGTGCGCAGAGCAAATTCCACGTCGCATTACATGCAACGATGGTTCAGTTGAAAATGCCTAGATTGCGAAGCAATCTGAACCGCTTACGAGTGATTTGTCCTGGGCTGGACGAAAGATCCGGGAGTCATGTCCCACAAACTGGCATACGGAGCCGGTCACGACAGCCCGGTTTTCCTGCTGCATTGCACTCACCTGCCTTGCAGCAGCTTTTTCGGGTGCATTCTCTGGTGCAAGGATTCAAGAAAACCTCACGGACATCAATCACTCCGCGTCTTGTCAACAAGATGCTCCGTCCTCGGAGTACCTCAAAACAAATAGACGTATGCTCCGCGCCTTGCTTGCAAGGGGCGTTTTCTTTTTCCTTTTTGGTTTCAAAGTTCCTTGTGTTCGCGTTATTTTCAGATGGAGTGTTGCTACATGCAGCCAACGACTTGTTGCTGAGCTGCGCCTTTGCCACATCAACTGATTGTCATGTTCATTCAGAGGTGGCAAGGTCAGCGGAAGACTTGTCCGAGGGCACAGCTTGGTCCGAGGCTTGGTGGCAAAAGTCGTGACACATACAACCTTTCAATCACTTCACTCGAAGCTTGAATGCTCCCTATGGTCATCGGTCACAGCGTATGAATGCTCCCCACCAGTCAACTGTTAGATCAAATGAACGCTCCCTTATTGGCGGCACTGACTTTTTATTCCTGTGTGTACCATGATTTTTGCAACCAAGCCATGGTCCCATCGATGCGTTGGAATTTGTCGGGATTCGCTCTGCCCTCCGCCTTTCGAGTGCCACTCCAGTCCTTTCCTGCGCAGCTGGAACATTGATGCGCTTTCAAGTCCTTCGACCAGCACGCTTGGAGTGCTCACATCTTGCGTGGTTCCGCAAAGAATTTGGCCATGTCATCTTTGGCATATTCATCCAGTCTGTTCAACACATCAGGCGCTTCTCTTTTAAGGCTCTGTCTGGTGTCTGGTGGGTCCCGGGTCGCAAGAGTAGGATCCTGGGGCGGTGTTGACTCTGTGGTCTCTTCCTCCTGCCTCTGCTCTTCTGAGTCCTTTTCTGTCTTTAGACTCTTCCATGCTCCAGTCTGGAACAGTGTCCCTTGCCCCGGTTGCCGTTGTTTGGGAATGGCTGGCCTGAAAAGCATGGGTAGAGCAGGGTAATACAGCGCGTTTGTGAGGCGGGTCTTGTTGTAAGGCGCTCAACGGGAAAAGAATTGACGAAAAATGTGTTGATGCCAGATGATAGGATTTTGTCTAATGGACCAGCTTGTAGATCAGATAAAGAGTATATCAGGTAAGGGTCCCAAAGAATGATGCTGATAAAGCTGGCGTTACAGGTGAAGAGTACAGACCGAGCAGGGTCTTGAGCTACAGCTGAGCGGCTTCGCGATGCAGTAAGCAGAGCTGGAGGGTTGATGGTGAGCGGCCTTGCTGTGTAGTTGGAGAATGAGACGCAAGCAAAGCTGTAAGTTGAAGCTGAGCGGCCTCGCGGTGCAGTGAGCAGAGCTTGAGGGTCGACGGTGAGCAGCCTCGCAGTGGTGGGCAGAGCTGGAGGGTTAGAGCTGAGCGGCCTCGCTGCGTATTCAAGCAGAGCTTAAGGGTTAATAGTGAGCGGCCTCGCGGCGTAGTTGAGCAGAGGCTTAGGGTTGAAGCAAAGAGCCCTCGCGCTGCAACGTGAGCAGAGGCTGAGGGTTGATGGTGAGAGAGATTGGGGTTTGAGTGGAAGGCGTCGACGCACTCTTTCCCAGTCGGGAGACTGCGCGTCTACGGACAGTAACCCTACCTCCATATTGACAGCCGGTTTAGGGAGCAATCAATCGCTGCTCCACCTGCGCTCAAGGATCATTCATGCACTGCCATCGTTGCGCTTAGGAAGCAGTCGTCCATTGCCGGAGCTGGACCAAGGGAGTCTCATTTCTCTCGACAGCTTCGTTGTTCACCACACGCGCTACAGTTGAAGAGGATTCAAACGCTGCCCGCTTCCTTCGACATTGCACCTCGCGCCAAAAGCCGACAGAGACTTCACATTCCCTCGGATTTAGTCGGCGGAGCATCAGCCACTTCGGAAACCCCATGGAATCGCCATTTCAGCGAAAGACACGGCTGCCCTTCTTCCTTTCGCCTCCAATCAGCTCCTCTTCGGCTGCCAAAAGCTGCAGTTAGCGGGCCTCGCAGCACACAAAGCGAAAAATGAGCACGCAGCTCTCGCGGGAACATTTATCGCACGATCGCCGTCTCGCCAGCAGAGTCCGCCTCTCCATCAGTACTGTCTTCCGCATCCCATTTTGAAAAGAGGCCAGGCAGCAGAATTGCAAAGTCGAATACCAGAGATGAAGTGAGTTGCCCCTACGGCTCACACTTGCCCTTGGGCCACTCCAAACTTGACAGTACCGCGGCTGATGCTCAAGGATACCACGGTCTCGACAGAGGTCGCCGAATTCGCCGCTGTATCTACTGCGGACAATGTGTCACACACAACCATGCTCTATTGTGGGGAGAGATCGCATGTTCAGACAGCAAGCAACGCCTGCGGCAGCTGCCAGCGCCTACCCGGTATACTTTCCCCAGGCAGAGCCGCACACAACTGCCGCACCGCTCAATCGCAAATGTCTGGAATTCGTGAAGCGCATAAAGACAGAGAATGGGCTCGTTTGAGGTCAGCTTTCGGTGGTGAGACGGGTGAGACGGGCCGCGTCTCGGGAGTACTTGCACGGCGAACAGCCGAGGAAAGACGAAGAGGAGAAGTGAATGGTAAAGAGCTAGAGCTGTTGCGGGCCCAGTCCGGAAAGGTCTTTGCTGCGTCAAAAAGAGCGCGGCATGATTGGCGAGAGCGGTAGCAGAATATGCTGGTTTGCGACAGCAACTCGAAGACTACGCGCTTCGGGCACCTTCTAGTCTCAACTCATCGCATCTTCCAGACCTTGAGGCTTAGGTTGACTTTGGATGTTGTTTCCAAAGCCCTGCCATTATGATCGCCTCGCCCATGGTCTAGGTGTCTTGAGAACATGCTTCGGTGCACGCCGGACGTTGGAAGACTGGAGACGCCTTTCCATTCTCATACACTTGGATCTCGAATCGGATCGCTGTCCCCATGATCTGTGCTCTGAGCTTTCCAGATACGCATTGCAGACGCTCGGCCTGGTGGCCACATTGGTATCTGCCTGGGCAGAAACGTTGAAGGCGGCTTGAAAATGGTTCCAGTTGTTGCAAGATTTTGACAGGCGCGTCCCGAACTCATTTACCAGCCTTGGAAAGATCTTGGAAATCTCTTTGATCGCGTCTGCCAGGTCTGGCATAACGATGCGGTAAGCCCTAGACATTCGGCATCGTGGCGCAGGCTGGCTCTCCCCAGTCTGAAAAATCGAGTTCCAACGGAATCCATCCCGCCGCTATTGCGCTTGACGGTAGTATTCCTATGGATTGTGGGCTTGGACGCTTGGTCTTCTGCATCCGCCAAAGTTTCAACACTCTTTCGGCCGCAACATGCGAGACTTGAACCTCGCAACCAGCACCGCAGGAGGGCGTAGGCGCTGTGGTGTGGTGGACAGGGTCACAAACCGAGGCTTGAGTGCATTTGAAAGAACAGTATAAAGTCATGGAAACAGACGCTGCACAACGTCAGAACTCAACTCGATCCAAATCATCAACAACAAGCCAAAACATCAACTCCAATCTTCTGTCAAAATGAAATTCACCTACTTCGTCCCCGCTCTGCTGGCCACGGCGATTGCCACCCCGATCGTCGAGAAGCGCGACGCCACCGAGGCCATCACGGCCATCAACAAGATCTCGACGCAACTCGACACATTCAACCAGACGCTGACGGAATTCGCGACGGGCCAGAGCAGCGGGCTCGGCGGCGCACTCAACCTGCAAAGCGGATCGGGCGACGTGGAGACGGTGCTCCAGGAAGCGACGACGACGGTGCAAAACGGGCAGCCGTTCAACGAGCAAGACAGCGCGCAGGTCGCGCAGGCGATTCTGGCCTTCCAGCCCAAGATCTTCGCCACCATTGACGGCATCACGGCCGTCAAGCCGCAGCTCCAAGCGAGCATCGGCTCCCTCACCAGCGTCGTCAAGACCAGCCTCCAGGAGCAGCAGACGGCGGCCCAGGGCTTGGCTGACGCCGTCTCGGAGAAGCTCACCGGCGAGTTCAAGGCCCAGGCTCCGGTCATCAACAAACAGATCCAGGACCGCTTCAACACTGCTATCCAGGCTTACTCGACTTGAGGATTGCGCGGGCCGGTGTTGATGCTTTGGCGCTCTTCTTCTCCTGCCTGGATCGAGTCTTCTCCGCGGCTTTCATGCCGCGTCAAGCGCAGCTGGTACGGAATGATTGCGCTGCGGCGCCCTGCAATGGTCGTCGCGTGGTGGTCTTGAGCAATGGGATTTGCCATTGTTGCTTTGCTTGCCTGCTTGCAAGGACACGGAGCTAGCTAGACAGTTTCTCAACAAATGGAAACCTTCCGAGGGCGTTCAAAACTGCCGGTTTGACTGAAGTGCAAATGTTCGTGAGAAGGGCGCAACTCCGTAGTGAAGCCATCATCTGTTAGTCTTCGCTTTGAATGTTCCCTTTCTGCAGTCGTGATGAGTGCGTGGGAAAGAATGCAGTGACGCAGTGACTCGATTTTCAATTCCATCAACGACGCGCATGAGTTTGGTTCCCCAAAATCGTTGCCTCTACAAACCCGATGCCCTTGCCGAATAGTTGGTTCAATTTGCCGCTTGGGGATGTCTTTCAAAGCCTTCTTTTGAAAAATTGGCTGACTTGCTGAGAAGTGATTCAGGGCACCAGATCATATCCCGAAGACCACCACACCCGTCCCGCAGTGGCAGATACTGATTACATCCGAGTAGACAAGCATATCCCAAACCCTTTCATCTGGTTGGCTCGTCTGCAAACCCATGGGTCCGTGCGCCACGCAAAAAAAATCACCTCCAGGCCCCCATCACTTGACGATGACCCACCAAAACAAAAAGACAAGTGTCGGGGATTGAGCCCAACGCGGGGGTCGAACCCGCAGCCTTGAGATTGCCTTGTTTGCTGCTGTTTGACGAGCTGGCGAACTAAGAGTCTCACGCTCTACCGATTGAGCTAGCCGGGCGGCTTGAGTTGTTATTGGAATAGCGGGCGGTCAATAGTTTATGTATTTATTGACGAGTTGAGAGCATACCAAAACAACAGCACCTGCTGCCCGAGCTCAAATAAAAAAGATTCTCGCAAGTGAGTAGTCCCACCGGGCTGCTTTGTCGTTAGCTTTGCTGACCACCTTTCCCTCGGTTGTTTCAGGAGTCTTACGATCGAACTCGGGATCTTTCTTGTCCGCGCCTCGCCGCACTGGATGAATGAAGTGGGTGAGGTTTTTGTGAGACGAATGTCCTTCCGCTAGACCATAGGACCGTATTTGTCGCCCATCGCGTTGGATGGTCTTGGCGTCGGCACATTGCAATTATGTCACGCGCGCGACGCATGTTTACTTGGAGAGAGGAGATAGCTATTGCGTTCTACGATTTTGGGCAGAAGTGAGTCGGGATGCTCTGCCAACTCAGTGAGTGCGGGGAAGAGTGGGATGGACAGCATGTGGAGGACCGAGCGTGGACCGAGACGGCTGCTGCGCCTCAAAGGACCAACTACTTCACCCAACACGTCGAGGACGCCGTTTCGAAAAAAGACCACGGAGGGCAGTCCACGATGTTGGCGAGGGCTCGTGGGTCGACGTCCGGGCGCACGCAAGCGGAAGACGGAAGATGGCAAGGGAGGGATTTTACGCCCTTTGGTTGGGTACTACCGGCAGGTATTTCTGCAGACTTGGAAACCCTTCAACCACGTCAAGACTCCCCAACATTCCATTTCAACGCCACCCCCCGTCGTCGGGTCGACTTGCGCACCCCCGCGAAGCTTCCCACTTATGCTTGCCAAAGAAGCAGACACCAAGCCGCAAGGCCACGTCCTAGATGAAGATCTTGCGTTGTAGGCTAACCCGCTTAGGAAGGTTCGTCGCATGCACATTCGACGACAGGACATGGAGTTTTAATGGGGACGAAAGCGCTTCGACTACATCGCAATCGCTCGAAATTTGCAGACCTCGTTTGCGAGAGCGCTATATGTTCAATCCGCTCGCTTGAAACCCGGATTCATTGGCTCATCACTGTAGGCTTTCCAACGACTCTTTTTGTTGAACCGTGTCCGCCCTGGGTGGCGCTGCCATAACTTGCCGACCGTGGTGTACATCATTCGTGCGCGATCGAGATGTCAGGCCAACGTAAAGTAACTTCGGCTCGTTGGGAAAGAGATTCGTGCGCTCAACTTATAAGTCAGCGAGAGAATGCCGCGGAACGCACGATGCTTACCGTTTGGTTGGCAGATGACATCTTCACCTGCGGAACTTGAACCTCTCTACCAGGAGCGACTCCTCAAAATCGCAATCCTGCGCCATGCCCAAGTATTCCTCGACCGGATCCTCAATCTGCTCGTCCAACTCGCGCACGCGCTTGCGAACGGCTGGGAGAGGCTTGAGGATGGCGCGAATGTCTTCAAAGGCCTCCAAGCGGTCTTCATGACACAAGTCCAGAGTCACGAGCAAGAGGTGTTCCATGACGCGGCTGTTGACCGGAAGCCTGTGGACCATGACGGCGAAAGCTTCGACGTCCCAGGTGCACGTGTCGATGTAGAAGATGAGGGCGTCGCCGGCGGCGCGCTCGGCTTCGTCGACGCGGAGGCGAAAAGCGGCCACGTAGAGGTCGACGTCGTCGTGGAAATCACTGGTCATGGGCAGCGGCTGTGGCTTTTCCGAGGCACAGGTTTCCAGCATCCAATCGAAAAGGTAGGCCAGTGAGGCGGGCGCGACGTCGGATCTGATTACGATGGCGGTCGCCGTGGGCTGCTTGGTGCGGTACTTGGCGATCAAGGTGCTGAATTGCGCGAGCATGGCGCGCGGAAAGGTGCCGACGGTGTACGTGTCCATGTTTTGGACGTCGACTTGGACGCGGAGGTTTGCGCCGCAGAGAAGACTGGCCCGGTCTCTTTCGCTGAGGACAAGGGGAGAGACGCCCAGCGGAATGGTTTTTGGGGGACCGGTGGTGTTGTGGAGGTGCATTTTGTTGGTGTAGTGCAGCCGGGTTGGCGTGAATTCGGTGGAGTGTTTGAGGTATCGAGAGATGATTCGCAAGACAATCAAGTCCTTGGTTCGCAGCAGTGTCAGCGTGGCCCCATAACAGAGCCCGGCGGCCATCTCGGGCGGAGGTTTGCTGCAGTCACTTGGTTGGCCAAATCGACACGGACTCTCAAAACACGAGGACAGTCATCCACCAACAAACAAAATGTCAATGCGGAGAATACCCGTGGTAGTTCATGGACAAGTTGCCAGACATACACATTGTGGAACCAATCCATCCCGCCTTTCCCAACGTGATTCTGACCATGGGCCTCGCTTCGCTGTTGTACGCTAATTCCAAAGCGAACCAGGTAATGCCTCTGGGTGTTGAGCCAATCCACCATAAAATGCCACACAACCGCTCGAGTCGGCAAACTCATTTCACTCCAACCCTTTTCAACACACAATTCACAACGCTCTCTCCAATACACAATCCACAAAGAAGACAAGATGAATTTTTCGAATCGATCACAAAAGCTCTGGACCATGGCACTCATCCTGGCCTTGGTCGTGTTCCTTCTTCTCTGCAACATACGCCCGGAACAACTTGAACAAACTCTCCACAAGCGCGGGGACCCCGAAGGCGAAGCCGATGGGCACAACAAGGATACCAAGGCGGATCATGGCGCCTGGAAAGATCTCTGGGGTTCAATGCCTGAAAAACTCAAACACACCCTCCACAAGCGCGGGGACAAAGACGACGACGACAACGGCGACGACGCGCACAACACCTTGGAGAATGGCTGGGGTGCAGTACCAGAAGACTTAAACGACCAGCGGGAAACGGCGAAGAGGAAGATCCCCGGGCCGAAGACGGAGCCGCCCTTTGAGCCCTGCAACCGCAAGGATTGGGTCATGTGGCTCTCCTTCGGCGCGCCCCATGAAGAATTCTGGAGCCACCGGGATGCGAGGGATGTTTCATGCCTCAAGGACGCCGACTGGAAGTCAGACGCATGTACCGGCTTCATTGACAGGCCTGGGACTTTCTTTTTAGAGCAATTCGACTTCAAGATCGGATGTCAGCGACGAGACTTTGCCAGGCTCAATCTCCCAGATTTCAGAAATGCCTTCAGGGAAGAGATGGGATCGATGATCAGTTTTGAACCCTTCATCAAAGAACGGTTTGCCAAAGATCTCACTCATATGTGCAACAAGGAACACTATGTCAAAGAGTTAAAAGATTCCTTGTGGGGTGATGTTGCATCAGAGTCGAAGAAACGATGTAATGCTTTTGCCAGGTTTTACATAAACTGGAATAAAAGTTGATGGTAGCAAACCAAGGCCATTGAATAGACCATGTCGACGGGGTTGCGGACATGGAAGGTTTCTTTCAACGTTTGGAAGTTGGGTGGTGGATGGTGTTGTAAATGGAGTTGGAAGAAAAGGAAGAATACCATGTAGATGATCAAATGAAATACTTCCAACCTTGGTGGATTCTGCAGGTGTGGCGGCTGTGGCGGGAGGCGCGTGATTACGTCATCTCGGCGCCACCTCGCTTAAGGTAGCCCAGAGCCCAGGTCACCGCCCGACCGCCTGCCGCCCCGTCGCGTCTCCCGGTCCCTGCCCTACCGGTAGGCTAGGTACACGTCCTCCTGCTCCTGTCGCTCCGCTTCAACTCGACTACGTCTCCCCTCCGATGGCTCCCTCAAGTGCCCCCGCCAAATTCTCCCTCGCATTCGGCTCAAAGAAACCTCCTGCTCCGGCAACCAAGAAGCGCCCTCACTCTACCCTCCAAGACTCGGACGATGAAGACGCTGCCCCTCAAGCCCAGACAGTCTCCCACTTCGACAACTCTGCTGGCGGCGCCATAGACTCGAACAAAAAGACGCCCACAAACATTCCACTCGTCATTTCAAGCCTGCCGAATCGTGACTGGCGCGCCGAAAGCCAAACAAAGCGCCAACGGAGCGTCCTCCCCCATCACCAAAACGCGCACCCGAACACACATCTAGAACACGTCGAGGAACAAAAGCCAGTCTACGGCTTGAATGTTATCAACAAGGACACCGCCGCCCCTGCGACAGAAACGCCCGATGCGCCTGAGAGTCGAGAGGACGACGCAAGCCGACATGCCACCACCGAGCCCGCGGAACCCAAGACAGACGAGCAGCTTGCCATCGAAGCCTTGACTGGCAGCAGGCCCAAGTCCGAGTTGGTGCTTCCAGCTGTGGAAACCGAGGAGCAAGCCTTCCGTCGAGACTACGAGTCCGCGCCCGACATGGCGAGCTTGAATGAGTACGAGGCTGTGCCGGTCGAGGAATTTGGAGCCGCATTACTCCGCGGCATGGGATGGAAGGAAGGCGAGGCCATTGGCAGAAGGAAAGGACAAAAAGCAGTGCAACCCCGAGTTTTGGAGAAGCGGCCTGCGCTGCTGGGAATCGGTGCCAAGGCCGATGCTGCGATAGGGGAAGAGATGGGAACGTGGGGCAAGGCGACAAAGAGCAGGAAGAAAGGCCCAGAGTCATACAATCCCGTCGTTTTACGAAACGCAAAGACTGGGGAACAGTTGACAGAGGAGGAGCTGCGGCAGAAAATGACAGACCACAAGAATGCCGAACAAGAGGCTGCCCTAGCCAAACGACAAGATGATTCGGATCGTCGCACAGGGAGGTCATCTGGGCGGCACAAATCCCATGACGATTACGATTCTGGGAGGAGGGAAAGGGATAAAAGGAGAGACGACCGCGACCGTGGTCGGGATCGAGAGAATGGCAGCAGATACAAGTCCTCTCGCGGCCACCAAAGCAGAAGCGACTCTGAAGAAAGCTCTCGTACTCGGCGAAAGTATGACAGCAGGTCTGACTACGACCGGAGGTCTGGTGATAGAAAGCGGTCCCCTCGGCGGCGCGACAGGGAAGAGGTCTTCTCACGGCATTCACGTCATGGGCGAGACCGGAGCAGAGACAGGTATGAGAGCGATCGACGTCAACGTTGAATGAGCCCTGAGCCCG